GGGTGGACATGCTAAGAATAAATCTAAAAGCATTTATTTCTTCACATGAAATGAGCAGGTTACATGTACAGTGATATTTCTGTAAGTTGTTCAAATGATTTAAATATCTTCTTACTTACATGGGAAGTTTCAAGTTCTGGTAAGTACAAAACTATTTGAAATATTTTTTTCTGAAAATAATGTTTTGCTGATTGTATTTTGCATTATATTTTCTATCTAGACTATTTGTGTTATATCTTTAATAATAAGGGTAAAAATATATTTACTATTATTTTTTCCCTCAAACATGCCAGCAATTTTCTCAGTATGATGAAGGAAGTAGGAGGGGACTTTAGTATCAGGAAATCAAGTGGTTCTCATGTACTCAAATATGAGCATGTTTATTTCTATGATTATAAAAGAAGTACACACTCATAGAAATTCATCAAATACATTAAAGAAGGAAGCTACTTACAATTCAACAAAACTGCTGATCACCAGTGAATAATTTGTGTATTTATTCCTGAATCTTCTTCTCTCTCCCCTTCCTACAGAATAGAAAATCTGTAGAATCTACTTTGTTTTCACATAATGCAATTTTTCTTATTAATCTAAATTCATTAATTTTCTGTTTTATATTCCACTTCATTCTTTGCAAAATACCCGAATTCCTACTACATAGCAAAAAATCAAATTTGAAATTCAGTATGTGAACTATATCTTTTTTGTGAAGTGCATGGGGAAATAAAGATACAGCTACTTGGTAGAAGCAATTATTCAGCTGTGAGCAGCCTGTCTTAACCATTCTGTTGGCTGAGACCAACAGTGGCACTAATAAGCATGTACATGGCTGAGTCTAGTGAACCAAGATATGTGCTTGATAGACAGTGCAGAGGCTCTGCAGAGAACAGGGGGAAGATACTGCAGCAAGCTGTGGTGTCAGTAGGAGCAGGTATGGATAAACTATGGGGTACAGGTAAACAGATTTTAAAAACTAGCTTTTTTGCTACCTCTAGGGAAGTCAGTGGTGAGGAAAACAGTCACGCCCTCCCTCTTAAATTAGAGGGCATCAAGATTCTAGTTGCCTCTTTCCACCTCCACTTCTCTTTCAGTGCAAATACCCAAATACTCCAATACTAGGCTGCAGGAGAACATATTCCCATATCAGGAAGTCTAATGTTCTTGAAGAATTAAACACTTGAAGGTTGCTTGGTTTGTTTCCTAGGTAATCCTTAAGCGTATTACTGTCTTATCCCTGCTTCAGAGGGCCTAGAACAAACTGTTACAGATAATGTATGTACAAAATTGCTTAATTTCATCCCAATTCTGCTTTGTTTTAAAATTGGCTAAGATAGGATGGCTTAATGTTGCGAGGGGCTGAGAGCTCTGTTCTCTCAAAGGGGTTCGTCTACCCCCAGCATTTTGCTTGCAGGCTCTTTGCCTTCTTCCCGGATGGCATTGCCACCACTCTGCCTTTGGCATCTCAGCCTCCCGCAGGCTTTTCCTTTGAAAATCCTTCTCTCATTCCATCCCTATCTCCAATCTCCTTAGCTTGGCCCAGACATTCCCCTTTCATAGTCTCTTGGCACTTGAATTTTTTTTTTTTCAAGTATGCTACTAAATTACCCTGTGGATTTTCCATTTGTTCTTACAAGAGGTGCGCGATTACATCAGGGCAAAGCTGACTTACTACTCTCCGAAGGAAATGTGTTTTTCATCTTTTTTTTTTTCCTCAATGATGACAATTTGCATGGAACACAGATCCTTTTCTCTAACAATGACAGCAAGTCTTCACCATGTTTCACGTTTCACTCCAAGAGCCTACCCTGTCACGGGCTGTTAGCCCTCACCTGCCTGTATGCAGAATCCCAACACTCTACAGCTTACCATGTAACTTCCAGGAGTTACCAGAGATTTCTTACATGCAATGGACTCTGATTTTTGTTTTGCTTTTGCTGCAGCCTCTTTATCAAGGTGCCTGGCAGTCACCCCAATGCATGATCTTCTCTGCAAATGCTCCTCTGTAGCTGGACATCTGATATCTCCCAGCACAAAGAACTCTGAGTTTCTGCCCCTCATTGCTTTGGCTCAAAGCAGGTGGTCAGGTCTGGTAGCAATGAAATACAGCCAACAAGGCCAACAAGGTCTCCTCTTCACATGGTTTTATCATCTGTGTTTCATGTTGTGGTCCCAGCACAGAATTTTTAAACATAAAATCCTACAAAACCTTAGAATATAGGTCCACACAATCATGTTGTTGAAGTGGTGACCTTATTAAAAGTTGTTTGAACAGCAGATTTCAAGCAGAAAAGGAGACATGCCAAAATCCTCACAGTGCACCTATCAATATACAGACACACTTATCCATCCATACACTTAGATATATGCAGTATAAGTATCAATTATGTGAGTGTATCGCAGATATTATTCACATAAAAGTTATCCAACAAACATGCAAAACTTGGACTTAAAAAGCAACCAGAGGGACCCGGCGTGGTGGCGCAGTGGTTAAGGTCCTCACCTTGCACGCCCGGGATCCCATATGGGCACCGGTTCTATCCTGGCAGCCCCACTTCCCTTCCAGCTCCCCACCTGTGGCCCGGGAAAGCAGTCGAGGACGGCCCAAGGCTTTGGGACCCTGCACCCGTGTGGGAGACCTGGAAGAGGCTCCTGGCTTTGGACCGGCATAGTATCGGCCGTTGGGCTCACTTGGGGAGTGAATCATCGGACGGAAGATCTTCCTCTCTGTCTCTCCTCTCTGTATAACTGCCTTTCCAATAAAAAAAAAAAAAAAAAGCAACCAGAGGCAGAGATGTGAGGTCTTTCATTTAAATACTGAAGGAATGTATTCTTATGGTTTGTGAGGGCTTAGCGATTAAGCAGACTGCCCAAGGGCTGGCCGCACTTTATCAGCTAAGGATGAGAACAGGTTGCAGTGTTGCTGACTCAGTGGCAAAGCTGGACTCCCCAGCTCTTGATGCCTATGCGTGCTGCAGCAGCCTCCATGCTCTTAAGGACCACAATGACAATACTTCTAGGGAAGGGAGAAAGGGAGAGAGTTTGTAGGCTGATCTTCACATGCCTTCCCCTAACTTACAAATAAGATTTGTGCCATAATAGGAAGTACATTATGATTCTTAGATAACAGTTTGAAAATACTTCAGTAGGTGAATTAGGTCAGGTTTAGAGGTGATTTACCCTGATAAATGATCCTTTTTCCATCTCTAGTATGCCAGTCAGTTCTATTTCATTTGTTCAGTTTATCTTCAAAGCTGCAGGGCTTTCTTACTGTCAAAAAGCACTGACGACTATACTGTATTTTATTTTTTTTAAAAGATTTATTTATTTTTATTGGAAAGGCAGATTTACACAGAGCAAGAGAGACAGAGAGGAAAATCCTCTGTCCGATGATTCAGTTCCAAAGTGGCTGCAATGGCTGGAGCTGAGCCAATCTGAAGCCAGGAACCAGGAGCTTCTTCTAGGTCTCCATGTGGGTGCAGAGTCCCAAGGCTTTGGGCCGTCCTTGACTGCTTTCCCAGGCCACAAGCAGGGAGCTAGATGGGAAGCGGAGCTGCTGGGATTAGAACTGCCACCCATTTGGGATCCACTACGCTATCGCGCCTGGCCCATATTATACTGTATTTTAAATACCAGGTAATAGCCACAAATGCTGCAAATGAAAAACAAGCCCACAAACAGGAAACTCCACAAGCTGCCCCTTTGTCAGACTGGTTTCACTGAGCTTCAGTTTGCGAGCAGGACTCAGATGGCTCCAGTGTTAGTGTCACATCACAATGCTGTCATCCATTCAAAGAACACTTACTTAGTGCAGTGCTTTAAAAAGTGGAGTAAGCGCTGTGTCACACGATGGCCTGCATTTTCTCCAATCTGCAGAGGACAAAACCTGGAAGTGTCTTCATGTGGCCCCTACTTAAGGATCTAGGTGACACATTCTTTCTAGAACTTAATATTAAGTTCATTTTCTTTCAGTTGAACTCATTTGGTTCCAGTAATAGGACGATTTAAAGTTCAAAATCTTCCTGTGCTCCCGGTCCCTCCCAGACCCCGTTGGGGGTAGATTTCTTTGAATGCGGGGACAGACTGCAGTCAGGTGATGGATTGCAAAATTCTTTTCTCATTAGTTGGTTTCTGATTTGGGTCACTTTGTTATTAACTGTGCAATAATAATCTGTTAATTTGAAAGATTTGCCAATTTTAGTATTGCATAAAATCACACATATTTTCCCATAGCTCTGTTATGTAGTGATCAACACTATCAACCATTTTTGGACTTTCTCCCCTCATATACATATGCATAAATCAATGTTATAGTTTATATGTTTTATAAATTGCATTTTCACTTAGAAATGTCATGATTACCTTTTCAAAAATCTTTTAAAAATTATTTGTTTGAGAGGTAGAAATACAGAGAGAGAGAGAAAGAGAGAGAAAGAGTGCGCTATTACACATTCTCATGTACTGGTTCCGCCCCCAAATTCCCACAAGTGCTAAAGTTATTAATGAGAACTCAGTCCAATTTTCTCATGTGCGCAAAAGGCATCCAACTGCTTGAACCATCATTCCTGTCTCCCAGGGTCCACACGAGCAGGACACTCGAGTCAGAAGCCAAGGTGAGATTTCAACCTAAGCATTCTAACGTGGGCTGTGAGCATCTTAATTACGGGTCTAAATGATGCCTTTCATTATAACCCATTTAAAAACCCCAAAGTTTTTTACTGCATGGGTATATACCATATATCAATTTTTACTTTTTCTAAGTTCTTTATTCCTGTCTTTATTTTGTATTAAATGACAAATATCCTTATTTAACCACTTCCTTAATGTCTACATCCTTAAACCGATCTTTTAAAGTTGGCAGGTATAATGAAGAAATGAGTAAAGGAGTGAATAAAATCCTAAGGATATGCTCAGAGCATAATAATAGGCATACATCAGTGTCACCATGGACTCTAGTGTTGGTGCTCTGGAAATGAACAATTTTCTTTCTTCCTTAGGTCTCAGGCAAGATGAGTGACACCCCATGTACCAGTTTTTCCACGATTCAGCCGACTTTCTCTGAAGGTCGGATTCCCTCTTTTCGGCATATAAGCGTCACTCAACCTGTCGTGGCCAAACGGATCAGCTTTTACAAGAGCGGAGACCCCCAATTCGGCAGCGTCAGGGTGGTGGTCAACCCTCGTTCCTTTAAGACCTTTGATTCTTTGCTGGACAACTTGTCCAGAAAAGTGCCCCTACCTTTCGGGGTGAGGAACATCAGCACCCCTCGGGGAAGGCACAGCATCACAAGCCTGGAGGAACTGGAGGACGGAGAGTCGTACCTGTGTTCCCATGGTAAGAAGGTGCAACCGGTCGACCTGGACATAGCCAGCCGGCGCCCCAAGCCCTGGCTCAGCAGCCGGGCTCTCACCGCGCACGCGCACGCGCCCCACCGCCCTGCTGCCACGGCTGCTTCCGGCATGCTCCGCGCCCCGCGGAGGCTCATGGTCTTCCGGAATGGGGACCCGAGGACAAGGCGGACGATCCTTCTGAGCAAGAGGGTCACCCAGAGCTTCGAGGGCTTTCTTCAGCACCTGACGGCTGTCATGCAGTTCTCGGTGACCAAGCTGTACGCCACAGACGGAAGGAAGGTGATGTCCCGGGGCTGCGCACGCTGGGCTGGTGGCCTGTGGGAAGGCAGGCCCGCTCCTGGCGCGGGATTCTGAACCGTGTGCTCCTTCGCCGGACGCAAGGGACCCTTGAGAACTGGGTTTTTTTTTTCCTTCTCCCCTGCAGCCTGCGCCCTTTCAGCCTGGCCTGAGCACCAAGTTAGATTATGTTTTGTCCTAGAATTCAATTTTGAAAATATGTGGAGAATTAAAAAAAAAACTTAGGAGATGAATTAAAAGATAAATATTTTCATGCAGATTTTTTTGAAACCCTTGCATAGGAGGGCGTCTTCAAAAAGTTCAACAGATGCATATGAAAAAACAGTGAATAGGTTTCAAATCCTGCCATATTTCTTGGAAAGCAGTGAGCCAGAGTAGTTGTTTGCTGCTTAGAGAATGGGATCCCTGCTGGGAGGTTCCAGCTGACCTTCCTGGCCCTGCCGTGTCCGCCAAGCGTTTTGACTGAAGCTTCAGACTTTGATGGGGAATGCCACATTACCTGTTTTTTTTTTTTTTTAATTAATTAATTTTTTTTTTTTTTAGGATTTATTTTTATTGGAAAGGCAGATATACAGAGAGGAGGAGAGACAGAGAGGAAGATCTGCTGTCTGATGACTCAGTCCCAAAGTGGCTGCAGTGGCTGGAGCTGAGCCAGTCTGAAGCCAGGAGCCAGGAGCTTCTTCCAGGTCTCCCATGTGGGTGCAGGGGCCCAAGGCTTTGGGCCACCCTCGAATGCTTTCCCAGGCTACAGGCAGGGAGCTGGTTGGGAAACGGGACCTCCAGGATTAGAACTGGTGCCTATATGGGATCCCGGGCGCGTTTAAGGCGAGGACTTTAGCTGCTATGCTATTGCATCGGGCCTGTCACCTTAACTTTTAAAGATCACTTTGGTTTTACCAGAAAATCATTGCATCTGGCCGCTTTTTATGCTGGCTTGAAAAGGTTGTTTTGTTCGTCTTTTTCCATTCCCCTTGCCCCACTCACCTCAACACATTAGTATTTCTTGTTGTTTGCATTCATGGTTGCCTGGGAAATATGTGGTGACTGTCTCAAGCCTAGGACACTGTCAGAGTGGTCCAAATGAAACTGTAAAATGGCCATATGCAAAAAAGTGTAACTTACTTAGTCAGGATCGTGTTTCTGGTTTCCTCTAGGTACCCAGTCTCCAGGCAGTGATCCTGAGCTCAGGAGCTGTGGTGGCAGCAGGAAGGGAGCCATTTAAACCAGGGAACTATGACGTCCAGAAGTACCTGCTTCCTGCTAAATTACCAGGGATCTCGCATCGTGTACACCGAAAGGGAAGTGCTAAGTCAGAAAGCAGAAAGAGTAAGTCGATTGTTAATTTACAGATTAAGTCCTTATAGTTAGTTGTGGGATTTTTTTGCCTCCACAACAACAGAAAAATTCATGCTTACAAGACCGCTTTGTTTCATTATGCAGGAGAAGGTATGAGAGGAACAAACATTCTAAACTGAAATTAGTAGCTGATATAGTTGTAAAGGGTCATGGAAATTGTCTGATAATCTATTTAGACTTTTCTGAATCAGCTCATGTTGTATCTGTTTAAAATGATGAGACATGCTTATTCCTTTTTCTTTCTTGCTTTTTTTTTGCTTCTCTCCTCTGCTCCCTTCTCCTTTTCTCTTCTCCACTCTTAAAGTACCTAGTTATAAGAAATAGTCAACATATCAAGCTTTGCAAAAAAATGTGTGGAAATTGTGTGATGTGTCTCGGATTGAACAATTTATTTATTTATGAAAGGAGTGTAGCATTCCCAGGTGAGCTCATGTTAGTAGAATGACTGTGTTTCAAGTCTATCAATGTGTTTTTATCTTCTGAAGTTATCCTGGTGAACATAATAGGTTCTTAAAACTACTTTTTTATTTATTTAAAAAAATCCATGCAGTCATTTCATGCCAGGTAACAATGGTCTAAGTTGCTCGTTCTTTCCTATGTGCTGCATGATATGGTTTTATCATTGAGACAGGTGAGGATTATGACTAGTTTCATTGCGCATTGTGTCAGTATTTCCAGGGTAATTTAGCTGCCAATTAGCTTTCATTCTCTTTAGACATGGAATAATATGCTTTTAAAAATTTTATGTTTTTAATCTTATTTTTGATGATGTTTGCATAGTTGATCAAGGTGGAATGGATCGAAAGTTAGGGAAAAGTGGATGTGATTACTGTTTCCAAATTTTCTAATTCCTCCTCCTGTTTCTGGGGGGAAGGGGAGATAAGAAGATGAACCATGCCAACTACCCCAGCACCCAGGGTGGGGAGAGGCCCCTGATAGCAACCTAAGGTCCCAATGTGGTGCATGCTCTGAGGGTTCTGCCCAGGTGGTTTTGATGGTTTTGAAGTACTCTCTGTCTCGCTGAGCTAAGGATGGGAAAACCCTTCTAATGTCCATTGGCTGCCATAGTTGATCTTATAGTCTCCATTTGACCAGATTTTTGCTGTCATTGTTTGACTAGGGTTATTGTCCAGTTTTTTCCTCTGCTTTGGTAACAGATGTCCTCTGCAGGTTCCAATGGGCTGCCATACCCTCCATGTGCATCAGGGCCCACTCTCCATAGCTCCATCTCTTCCACTCAGGAGGACTAGCTCTCACAGGCAAACCAAGGCCCCGCTGCACCCCTACCCACCGGGTTCATGGACCGGGCACCCACCGCACAGGCAGGCCCAAGGATCTGGACCAGTCAACCCCTGGCCCTAACTGGACCTCCCATCTCTGGGGCTCATGGACCTGATACCCATTTGTCAGTTTGGTAAAATTATAGCAAAAATCAGAAAAAGTACTTTTATGTTTATATGGTGAAATGTTAATGATGTATACATGATGGCCAATATGAATAAATCTATAAAGATTAATAATAGTAATGTAATAGACTTGAAAAAGCAGAGGTGCTCAAGTTAACTCTAATGCTGCACCTTCAGAAGGCAACTAATACCAGGCCTTACATTTACTTCTGTTCTCTTGTGCCCTTCATGTTAAATCAACTATAGTAATTATACAAAGGGAATGCTAAAGTAATAATTATTATTTATTAACTCAGTGTTAAATGAGCCATAAGGGTATCTGGCTTCATAAGACTTCATTTGTCTCTCTTTAATATGCACAGATAATATACACAAATGATTTTTTTGAATAAGTAAGCATTGTCTGTTTAGAGTTCAATTTCAGAGTTGGCAAGCAAAATGAAAGAGACACTTCTTTGCAACATTTTTTTCCCGTAGACTTCTATTTTGCTATTAAAATTATCTTATTAATGTTAAAGGTTTATAAATCTTCTCATTGAGGTAAAATTATGGGTCTGTAAGATTGACTTGAAGAAATGACTCATAACCCATTGAATGTGCAGAGCTAAGAAATAATGTACTAATAATATTTGACTATGAGATACTGAAAATGTGATAGTGTTCATTTTAATTCTTCTTTTTCTTCTTTCTTTGCTGCCTTTTCCAATGGATGTTTGTAACTTTTTTTACTGCCCGCCTTATGTTTTGCTGTTGAAATCTTTTACTCTTAAAAATCTTCAAAGTGAACACACATGTGCCTTCAGCCCCAGAGTCCCAGATTTACTCAGTTTCTTTGGACAAAACACACAATAATGATAGCTACTCAGACTGTTCTTTTGCTCCTGAAAATTACTTGGCCTTAGAAAAAAATGGTTCTCAAAACTTGTCAATATATCCTACTGAAGATGATATTGAGAAATCAATTATTTTTAATCAAGATGGCACCATGACAGTTGAGATGAAAGTTCGGTTCAAGATAAAAGGGGAGGAAAGTATAAAATGGACCACCACCGTCAGTAGAGCTGATCTTTCTAATAAGAATGAGAAGAGTGCAATAAGCAGCTTTCCGGAAAGAGGAGATGATCAGTCATCGGGTTTAACGCTTGCAGCATACTCCTTGTCTGCAGATGCCTCACCTCTTGAGAAAGGCAGTAATCAAGAGGGAAATTTGGCAGAGGAGATCAACACTCAAATGACAGTGACGGGTCAAGGAGCTGAAACTTGCAGTTCTGCTAGTTGGGAGAATGGTGCTATAGATACAGATGTCATCCAGGACACTCAAGATCAAGTGAAGCATCAGTTTTATAGGCCTCCAACACCTGGGCCAAGAAGAGTGAGACAAAAGAAATCCGTAATAGGAAGCATGACCTTAGTATCTGAAACTGAGGTTCAAGAGAAACAGTTTTCTTACAGTGAAGAAAGGGAGGGTGGGGAAAACAAATCTGAGTATCACATGTTCACACATTCTTGCAGCAAAATGTCATCATTATCTAACAAACCAGTGCTTGTTCAGATGGATAATAATGAGCAAATGGAGTCATCTTTAGAAAGAAAAAAGGAAAGCAGACTGCTCAAATCAAGTGCAGTAAGTGCTGGTGTTATAGAAATCTCAAGCCAGAAGATGTTAGAGATGTCCCATAATAATAGCTTGCCATTAACTGTATCAGAGAATTCCATTGTTGAGGAAGGTGTGGTATCGGGCAACAAAACTGGGATCAAGAATTTCATAATTTATGATGACATCAATGATAGGTCCAGTTCTTTTTCAACAGAGGCAATTCATTCTTCAAGTGACAGCTCTGGAACTGACAAAAGCATTTCTGAGGCACCAGCTTCAAAGGGGTCTTCTACAAGAATTGACAGGCTAATTAATGAATTTGCTCAGTATGGTTTACAACATCTTCCAGAAAGTGAAAAGGAGATTCTGTCATGTGTTGCCAGAAAAAAGAAGAAGAAATCTCAGAAACTTGTGACAAATTCCAGATATCAGGATGAAGAAATTGCAACAAAAGGAATTCCCAGTCGGAAGGAGAGGATCAACAGAGGAGGTAGAGTTGTACAACAAACCTTATTGCAAGGTTCCCACAGTTCTCTTAAAAGAGGGATGCTTTGTGAGGAAGACCTCCATGCAAATGACATAATAGCTGAATCAAACAATTCATTTTCAAAAAGTAATCTCACAGTAGGCAATCCTCTAGTTGCCAAGAATTTTCCTAGAAAGAAATCAAATAATACTCAAAATTCTAGGGTTCAAGGACTCCTAACCAAAAGAAAATTGAAGTCCGTGAAGCAAGTCAGTTTGGGTGGACCTAATAAGAAAGAGACTGGTAATGGAGACAACGTACTTTCCTATGATGCATCTAAATATTACAAAGGTACTTTTGAAAATCAAAGTTTATTTCATGTACTTAACCTTGAACAAAAATCCAAAGCTTTTTGTAGTCCGTCGTCTCAAGCAGAAATGGCGTCTTGGTACTTGAGAGGAATGGCAAAGAAAAGCTTAATTTCAAACATGAATGATTCACACATAACTTTGAAAAGCCAGAAAAAAACAAAAGGGAACAGATTAAAATCAGGTGCCATAGTAAGTAAACAATATGGTACAACCAGGGCAAATTCCTTAGCTCTGAAAAGAGGTGATTTTCCTAATGATATTGCTCATCTTTCAATTCAGAATTATGTACAAAGGTGGTTGCAAAACATAAATACATATCCAACTGTAAAACTTAGAAAAGCAGCTCCAGTATGCAAAAATGAGAGGAGTGTGTTACGTTTTAACAATAGTGGATTTCTAGGAAATAATTTCCATACAAGTTCTGGAAAAGGAAATGGTTTTGTTATGAAAGGTGATAAGCACCCAGCTAAAAATAATGGTTTGGCAGAAAATGATCTATCTACGGAGGTAGGTAAATCTATTACTAAAGATAATCGTGAAGAACTTAAATGTGTCTTTGAGAATCAAGTTGGACCTCTGAAAGATTCTTGCTTAGTTTCACAGGGTAAATATCAGACTTTTTCACAGCCAACCACTAATGATTGTAGTACTAACAGACAGATATTATCTGAAAAGACAGGAGCAGAGGACAGGCTTACTTACCATGAAATAAACCTAGCTACAAAGGAGCAAAGTGTGGAAGCTGCCATTCAAGTAGATTCTATGGACACTCCAGAAGACTTCTTATCATTCTTGCTTCGTCAACTCCAAATGTCAGCCTCTAATGTGCACAAGTCTCAGAATGGAGTTGTTCAAATGCCAGCTTCCTTTTCAGATATTTCCTTCCCTTCTGTGATAGGTAATTCATCCACTAATATTCTTCTAGCGTGGCTGATAGTGCTATACCTAAAGGGAAGTGTGAGTGGTTCCTGTCAAGGTGATGCTGAAAAGACTAAAAACAGATCTTCAGAGACACTTGCACTGTTGGAAGTTCTGAAGCACATTGCTATCACAGAGGAAGCTGGCGATTTGAAGGCTACTGTAGCTGATTTAGTGGAGTCAACCACACATTACTTTGGGATCAGTGAGGAAGAACAAGATAAGGCTCCTGAAGACCTTTCTGAAAATTGCTGCATAGCCAATGTTCAGAGTGCTGAGTGCGATGAAAAGGAGATATTACAGAAAATGTCATCTTTGGATGGAGAGTGTGCTGCTCATGAGTCTGGTGTTGCTGAAGTCTGTGTTGCCCAGGTGACATGCTCTCCCAGTGAGATGTCTAGTATGGGTAGGATTTACCCTCTAAAAGAGACTTGTAAGCCCAATGAAACTTTCCCCCCTAGTGACAGTTGTGTTGTAGATAAGATCTACGTGAACAAGGCTTCTTTTCTTGGAGAGATCTGTTCATTTACTGATACTGTGTCTTCCCACACAGTTTGTGCTCAAAAGGAGATCCATATTTACGAAACGGGTTGTCCAGTTGTTGAATCTCACATTCCCTGTAGGATGTGCAAAAGCACTGAGTTGTTAAATTCCAATGAAAACAAATGTTCTGATAACTGGGAATTAACTGAGGAGTTAGAAAATGCAGATAAAATTCAGAAAGGCCCAAATATTTGGGCAGATTCTGAGTGTAAAAATGACTTTGATTTATTGTTATCACATCAAAATGTCAGTAATATAAGCCCTTGTGGCCTTTATCAAAATAAAATTGAGCCAAAATTAGAAAAGAAACATGATTATGTAGATGAGTTTGACAGTTGTCCAATGAATAAATTTCAGAGTAAAAATGAATATACGTCCTTTGATAAGGAAGATTCAAGGACCTCTGATGATCCAGGCTCAGTAACCAACAGCATAACATCAAGTGAAAGAAGCATTTCAGAATTGGAGTCTTTTGAAGAATTAGATAGCCAGCACGCCATCATGTTTAACACAAAGATAAATAGAGGACAGCAATCCAGGGAAGAATCAGTTAAAAAAGAATTAGAGGCTAGTAAAAATGTGGAATTGATAGACATAGTTGATAAGAATGTTACAGAAGAAAACAGAAATGGTGTAACTTGTGAGACAATTAGCAGGAGATTGACAACACCACCATCTTTAGTTTTTTGCTATGATTCTAAGCAAAATCCTGAAAAAGAACTGAAAGAAGGGGAGACTAAGATGGGAGTAAGAGCAATGATAAGAAGCATGGAAAGTGGAAGCTATTCAGCCACCTCTTCTTATTTTAAAAAGTGCTTTAAAAGTCCAGTGGCTTCTGATTGGTCAGATGACAGACCAGACAGTGAGAGTGAGCAGTCCTATAAAACGCCCAGTGATGGCATGTCCAGTGATTTTGCCCAAGAAAAAGAATACAATAAAGGATTTGTTAAAAGGGCAATAGAAAAGCTTTCTGGTAAATCAGAGATTACTAAACCATCTTTTTTACCTGGGTCTACACACAGATCTCAAGTTTGCCCATACAATTCTGTAGAATTTCAGTCAGCTAGGAAAACAGGTCACAGTGATTCTGAAGTTCAGTCACCAGTGTTGCAGGAATTACTGGAGGAAAAACAAGACACATGCAATACTAATAGTGTAAGGGACAGTTGTCAAAGGGGCAAACTTGTAGAACATGGTTCAAAACAAAATAATCACAACAGAATCTCTAGAGATAAAGAGGAAGGAATACTGATTGACAAGGGCAAGTGGCTTCTGAGAGAAAATCATCTGCTGAGGGTCTCGTCTGAGCATCCTGGCATGTATGGCAATGCAGATTCCACATCAGTTGATACGCTACTTGATAATACCAGCAATGAGGTCCCTTATTCACATTTTGGAAATTTGGCTGCAGGCCCAACTATGGCTGAACTTTCCTCCTCAGAAGTGGAAGAATTTATGCAACCTGTCGAATTGAAATGCAATTACTTTAATATCCCTCATTGTAGTGACTCTGAGCCTTTTGGTGACGATGTGGTAGATGTTAAAAGGAAAACCTGTGCCAAGGAGAACAGGCCAATACACAATGCAGAGGAAAAGGGTAATCATCAGTCAGAAAGAGTTTGTCCAACTGCCACTCATGCCTTTACATCTGCTGGTAACAAAGTTCACCCTATAACTCCTGATGTTATTAAAACCCAACCATTGCCTGGCAGTGCTGTGACTCATAGGGCTGTTCAGGAAGGTGACTCTTTGGATAAACTGTATACTCTTTGTGGTCAGCATTGCCCAATACTAACTGTTATTATCCATCCTGTAAATGAGGAACAGCGAGGATTTGCATATTGCAAAGATTCTGATATTGAAAATTCTTGGGGTTTCTGTTTATGGAAGAAATATCTACCACAATCAAATGGAAACATTTTTGAGCATAACAATAGAGCCAGTATTAGAAAACAAGCTATTGACAAGGCCATTGTTGATAAATCCAATCAGTTTTATTTGCATAGCATGATTGACTTGGTAGATAAAAGAAGAAAATCAGATGTAATTGACTACTTGAACACACAAGAAGAAAGTAATTTAAAGATACTTAAGTCATACTCTGCAAAAAGGTTTTTCTTGACTTGCTTGTACGCATCGTGGCTAGTTGTCAGTGATATGAATCCAGATACTCAACATTTCAGTAGCTGGGTAAATGACAACTTTAAAGCAGTTGATGAGAATAGCAACTTATTATATTACCGATTCCAGGACTCAAGAACAAATCTTAGTCAAGTAGTAAGAGAAAATATCAATTGTTACTTCTTTTTGGATATATTTAATCAAGCCTGCTTATTAGATATTTGTGAAATTGAGGTAACCTTCAATATTAGCAACAGGAATGTGTTAGAAATACTTTATATTTTGCGACTGAGAATCTCTTCATTTGGGGAGATTAACTAAATCTAAATCTAACTGATATTAAAAGCAAAGATGAACAGAGTAATTCTTAATTTTAGTATTAGCAGAGTCTTTTTTCTATTGATTTATTTTTAACTCTGTTATACAATAAAATATAGAATTTATGGTCTGTTTGAATTTCCTCCTTCCAAATGAGCTTGCTCTGGAAAGTTTATCCTTGTAAAGCCAATTTGATTTTTACTATTTTTTTTTTGTTTTTCATTTTTCCAGTAATTGCAGACTGAATTTCTATCCTATTATTTTAGAACTATATTCATACGATTTCTTAGATTTATGAATTTGTTTAGAGCATCAAAAGTATGATAGACAATTCTTTTTATATATTTTCAACTTGGTATAAAATATATTGAATACATTTGTGAATAAATGGAAGATGTAGCATGAAATTTTTATTTCTTAATTTTAATGATGAGTTTTACAAAAGGTAAGATTTTCATAGTAATCTCATGTTTTTTTTTGTGCCAGATATATGAGTTCAGTTCATTAGAATGCATGTCTACTGAGGTTGAAAGCATTTCCGTGGAAACAGTATTCACCATTTTCTCATGATTACAAAAATATTGCTCTGTCACTAAGTTACCTTTTCAAAGCTTTAAAATAAATACTGTATGGCCTTAGACATTAGTAAAAAGTAAAAAAAAAAAAATAAGAGGCAGAAATGGACATGTTCTATGAAGGAAAATTAAAGGAGTTAGGATGATTTAACCTGTAAAAGAAAAAAATGGTAAGTAAAATTCTCTGCACACTGAAAGTGAATTGCTTGATCAACTTAAAAGAATTCTTTTGCTCATGTGAAGTAATTCAACATTTAATAAAAATGGAAACATTAATTGATGCCAAGAATGATAAATAAATTTGTTCAGACTGTGAACCATGAATTCATCTGAATATTACAATAAATTGTCTGGGAGTCAACAGGAGAACTTTCAAGATTCTTTCCATGGAGTGGTTATATGATGGTGTAGAAAAAGTCCGAGACAGTTTGGACATCTAGAAGTCTTCTTTGTGACTGACTCAGGTTAGGATAATTAACATTCTTGGAGCAGTGTGCGGAGGTGCTAACATAATATATTTTAGGTAATGAAGACCCAAGAAAAATTAATTACACACAGAATAACTGGTTTCAGTTCAATGTAACTTTTTTTTTCTAAAATGGAATTATATATTTATGATACAGATGTAAAAAATTGCAAGTATTTGTAGCAAACCTTTAGATCTCAAGCATACATTGGTAGAACTCCCAGTTATCTGTGAACTCTAACTTAAGGAACAAATGTGTTACCCTTTTGTGTGGTTTGTGAATGGGGACTTTACTTATTTATTTATTTATTTATTAGTGTGATGTCAGAAATACAGAGAGGAGAGATAGGAAGATCTTTCGTCTGATGATTCAATCTCCAAGTGGTCACAACGGCCGGAGCTGAGCTGATCCATAGCCGAGAGCCAGGAGCCTCTTCTGGGCTGTCCTTGACTGCTTTCCCAGGCCACAATAGCCACCAGACTACCATGCCAGGCCTGTGATGGGGACTTTTTAAAGCATTTTATTTTTGATGATGTTTAAATAGTTGAGAAGGAAGCATGCCCATGTGTACCACTGGATAGAGGGGGAAAGGTTGAGCAAGGGGGAAAAGTAGATGAGACAATTGTTCTTATATTTTATCCTTCCTGTATCTGAGGGGAAAATGGGAGACGGGGAGAGGACTGTTCCCTCTACCTTAACCATATCATTACCCATGGATGGGTGATGGCCACCTGATGTCATCACTGGATCCCTGATGTGAAACAAGCACTGAGGGTACTGCTCAAGTGGTTTCAATAGTTCTGAAATGCTGTTCATTTCATTGCTCCAAGGATGAAGAAATCTTCCAAGGTCTGTTGGCTGACAATTCACCTCTAGAATCTCCATTTACCCAGATACTTGCTGTCAGTGCTTGGCTGGGAGAGTTGTCCAATTTGTTCTGTCCTCCATGGTAATAGATGTCCCCTGCAGGCATTAATGAATTGTTTTTCATGTCCCCCAAGTGCATCTTGGCATGCCATCTGCTGCACAAGTTTCAGCAACTGAAGAGGCCCAGTTCTGGCACATGCACCTCCATGGTCAGATCACAGATCCTGTGATATTCCCCGTGGTTGGAGTTCTGACTCCAGGGTCCCGTTGAGAGGATCCCCAAAGAAACCTTGCCATAGGTGACCCCAGACCTGACTCCTGTGTGTGCCAGCCAATGTGGGGTCTGGCTTAGTCCATCACCCACATCAGCCTACACACCATACCTACTGGTGGTTGCAGTTGCTGATTAAGTTCTGTCTCTAGGCTCATCTCTTATATAAACCAGAGGATACTGTGCCCAAGCCCATCCCTGCCCATCACAGAGTACATAACCTCATGTACACCAGTGGGAACTATAGCCAAGACAGAGCAATCCCCAGTAACCCACACAAGGTCCACCCCTAGCCCTGGGTTTCTGCACATGCTGGTGTGTGCAGCAGACTGGTCCAGTCTATCTATCATCCCATTTGGCTCTCATTAACATCAAAGGGTGTTGGAACCTAGCTCAGCCTGACTAACTTTACTATCCAGCTCATATTCATGCCTGTGGGTGCCATTGCCTGACCAGCCAAGTCTGCCCTGATCCCTAGTTCTCATGCTCACGGGTGAGAGCTACAGTCCATCAAAGGGGTACCTACAGTTTTGCTGATAAGCCTACTCTTTACATTTTGCAGGTGGTTTTGTGGTCCACCTTGACAGGACTTACCCCTAGTCCCAGCATCTGCCTACCGATGCTGCAGCAAAGCCTAAGCATCCCACACTTAATCTGGTTCAAGCAACAGTAGATACTGTTGTTGAGCCCAGGCTGGCTCTCCCGCTAACCCAGTTCACATTCAGGCTAGTGGATTTTGTAGCCCTGCCCAGCCTGATCTGTCCCCCAGTCCCAGCTCTTATGGTCGTATGCAATAGCACTGGCCCAGCAGGGGAGTTGTTGCAGCTCCCCATCAGGCTTGCTCACCCCACTTGGGTGTTACATTTGCTGGTGGATGCTGTGGCCCAGTTTGGCATGGCTTGCTTCAACTTGGTATTTTCCAGTGGGTGCTGTAGCCTGGCTCAGCCAGGCATGCCTCTAGTCCCAGCTCATGCTGCTGGGTGCTATACCTAGCCCAGCCCAGCCAGCTCTCAGTCTCAGGCCTAATGTGAACTTGCTGGTGTTATAGCCCATCTTGACCTGTACTGAACCCCTTCCTGTTTCTCACATCTGCCAGTGGGTGGTTTGAACTGGCCCAGCCTGGTACGCTTGTATGCTGGTGGCTACTGTAACCTGGCCTGGTCTGGGCTGCTCCAAGCTTTGGTTCTTGTGCTTACCTGCAGGGACTGCATCCTGACAGAGGAGTTCCCAAAGCTCCTCCATCAGGTCACCTCCCAGTGACAGATCTTGTGCACACTGTTGGGTGCTTGGCTCTTTTTTACCTTACTGGCCCCACTCATTTTGGCTCCTGCCATTGGGTGTTACAGCCTAGTCACACCTTGTCCACCCCCTGGCTCAGCTCTCGCATGGCTCAGCAGGTTCCGAGATCCAGCCTAGTCCATCCTACCCTCATTCTGGCTCTCACAAGCACCAGCAGGTGCTGGAGCTTAGCCCAGTCTAGCATACTCCAGACCCAGTTCACAACCATGCCAAGGTGTACTGTAGTTTAGTTTGCTGCTCACATTCTGGCTCTTGTGTTCACCAGTAGGAACCACAATACAGCCAGGGTGTTCCCTTAGCTCTGTGACCTACTCTAAGCCATAGATCTTTTATTTGCTGGTGGTTGCTCTGACCCAGTCCTGCATGGTCTTTGCCATAAGATGCTGCAGCCTGGCCTGTCCCAGCTGCCCCAAGTCCCAGCTATCATTGATAGGTGCTATAGCTCAGTTCTATCCAGTCTGTTCCATCCCTGGTTTTCATGCAAAATGATAGGTGTTATAACCTAGCTCAACATGGTCTGCTCTTCATTCTGGCTCTTGCATATACCCGGGTTGCTAAGGTTTGAGCTGCCGGGTCCACTCCCAGAACCAGCCCATACACTTGCTGACCAATGGAGCAGCCTTATCTGGCCTGACCAAAACCCAACACTGATTCACATGCTCATCAGCAGGAACTATAACCCACCAGGGGATTCCCCATGTTCCCCCGCTGGGCCACTCCAAATTCTGATCTCACATGTGTCAGCAGGTGCGAGGCCCTTACCAGCATAGTCTACTCCCTCTGTCTTGGACTTTGTGTGGTCTAGTGTATGCTCTGATCCAGCCCACCCCAGACTCTATTCATGGATGTGCTTATGGGTGCTACAGCCGGAAGCAGCCTGGCCTGTTCCCAACCCCAGTGCCTAAGTGTGTCTGGGGGTCCCATGGTCATATCTGGCTCAGCCCATCACTATCACAGCTCTTGAGCAAACGAGCAGATACTGTACTTCCACAGGGTTGTGCCCACATAACTGCCTCCGTTCCCGAATCTGCTCCTAGACCTGGTTTTCTTGTATGATGGTCAGTGTCATGGCCATTACCCATTACCCATTCCTTGTTCTGACACTGGTGGAAACTGTGGTCGAGTCCCACTAGGCAGACTCCAGGCTTAACTTTAGTGTGTGCTGGTGGGTGGTTGTCAGTGGTGTTCAGTGCTAATTAGTCCAGCTCAGGACTTCCATGTGGATGGGTCATCTGACTCAGAAAGTTCCTCTAGCTTCCCTCCTTCAAACTGCTTGGCCTCAGCCCCCTGGCTTATCTTTCTATCCAGCTGGGACTCAGGCATGTTAATGAGATCACAAGCCTAGACCACCAGCACACCATGCCAGCATGCCAGCTTGGGGCCCTAACAGCCCTTACCCCTCTCCCTATTCATCTACCTGGCACCCAAATATGTTGGGGGAGTTTCCAGACATGCTCTGCTCCACTGGCCCCCAGCCTGAGTCCTCAGGCCCTCTGAGACTGGCTAAGCACCAACTCAGTAAAA